ATTATACAATGTTTCATTAGATTGTTTTTCTATTGGTTTAAGTACAAGATATGATATTAAATTTCCCCAAACTTGACCTATAAATCAAATAATTATATTTGATATTTAAATAATAAATATTAAAACAAACTTGATTGAAAAAACATAAAGAAAATACCAAAAAATCGATTAACAACAACATCTTTATGAATATGTTTTCTTTCGGCATATATTGCACCTGTATCAGTTAAATAACTACATTTCGATGTCCATAATGGTGCAGCACCCAATCCAACAAGAGCAGCAGCTTAACAAAATAAAATAAAGGATTATTGATGGAAAAAAAAAGAATTAAAAAGATTAAATCCATCGAGTACCTGGATACATAAGATATGCTTTCGGGTAATAATTAGCTGCAACATATAAAAGATAACTAAAACCGAAAAAAAATTCATATTCATTCAATGAAATTTACAATACATACGGAATTTGACATAAGACAAGTGTCCATTTAAGACCTAATAAAGCAATTAATGGATGTGGTAAAAAAATTGCTGAAAAAATAAGAAAAGCATAAATAATTGATAAAGAATTAACACCAACATTAGCTTCAGTATTTAATGAACTTTGTAAATTACCAATAGCACTAAATGCAGTAAATTGAAGAAGAAATGCTACACAAAGTACAATTAAATTTTTATAAGTACGAAAACGAAGTTTCTTCGTTGGTGTGATTTCATCAGTAATATCATTATCAATAATTGTTTGATCAATATGAGATTTAAGTTCAACATCCGAAATAATTGATGACATATTTTAATTTCTGAAAACTATTTGTTATCTTTTTTTTTCTTGTAATAAAAAATAAAAAGAAATAATGTAATGATTGATGATTATGTTCGTACAAAGATACAATACAACCAATTACTTCTTTTTCTTTTTGAGAGACGAACGACAACTATTTTTATAACGATGGATTACGGTATGTTTTTTGCTTTAAACAATATTTATTGTCCCGTCAACGATGTTTGTCAAATAAAACATACGGTAAATAAAAAGATTTATCCTTCGTCGTGGGTGTGTCATTCTACCTTATATGAAAAACGATAAGAAAAATTATTCTGTGGGCAGAAATGTTTCGATGCCGCTAGAATTAGGGAAAGGTTCGATTGAAAGATTGTTGCTAAAGTTGATCAGATTTTTTAGGGAAGAGTTTGAGTGTCTTTTTTTTTCTGGAATGAATAAGCAACAAAAAAACGATAAAACACTTGAACTCCGCTTGAAGTAAACGAAAATTTTTTAAGATTGAGAGATTGTTCCTGCTAGGGATACTTCTATTTATCATATGTCATGAAATAAACATTTTCTAAATAGTATTCTATGATATAAAATGACATGTTTTGATATGACTCCGAACATTATATGTCGTATTTATGTGCTTATGAGATGCGACATTCGAAAAGAAAAGGATAAGATATACTATATCAATGGAAAACTGAATATATGTCGCAACCAAAACGTCGAAAGTAAGAATTTCGAAGCCTGTAGGTTCGATGTGCGTGTGGTCATAGCTTTGGCGGTGGCTGAGGCTTTGGCTGTAAGTGAAGAGGAGATCCACATCTCACACCATACTCTAGTTCGACATCATTTTGACGTTATTGCTTTCAAATTTTCTGTTTCGACAAACTGTTTTTCGACGTTTTCTCGTTTGAAAATTTATCATCAAACCTAAGCCTGCGAATGAGATGGAAGCTAGATGGTTTGTCTCATCTTGTCCTATCTCATGAGTCACATGGGACAATGTGTTTAGTATAAAGATTTTGTTAAACTTTGAATCGTCTGACTTTCATGACCTTATTATTCTATTATCTCAGTTTTTCTCAATCTATTACCATTTAGGTTAATCAATCTGCCATTTCAATTTTTATATTATTCATATGAATTCTATTTTTTTCTGCAAAAATAACATTATGAATCTAAGGTAGTAGGATTTTTGTGAATTCCAACGAATACAATAGTGAATTCATTGGACTTGATTGAAATCTGATTCATTGGAATATAACAATACCAATACGATATTGGAAATTTGCCAAGAAAAATCAAAACCGAAAATTTCGAGAAACCCATTGTAGATTTGGATTCCACGACGCTGAAAATCTTTCATCAAACTTTATAAAAAAGAAATCGTTACTTTCGCAAAGTAGCTTTTCCCTGATGAAAAGAATGTGTGTGTGAATGAAGACAGATCCACATCCATACCTTTGTATTGATATTATTACATGTCTATTGTTTGAATTCACTGTGCTCCGCTAGGACACAGGAACTGCTATGTTTCGGAAGAGTTTTTAAAGCTATGTCGCTAAGTATTAAAACGTAATAATACTATTACTGCTCTCGTCTATCTATGAATGCTTAGCTTCTAATGAGTTTATTTCGTTTTCTCAGATTGGTCAGTGTCACTGAAGATTCTTTCATACTCTGGTACAAGTCGCTGGATTCGTTCAGATCGTTGTGGACTCAAGTGAATTTTATGATTGTTAAGGGTCAGTAAAATTCATTAGAACTTTCTCTCTATCCATTGGTTTTCTTTAAATCAAGAGTAATAAAAAATTATATTGAGAATGAATTTGAAGTGAAGATAGTCAGGACTCTTTATGACTATAAAATTTTATCTAAATAATCAATAGATATGGTGAAGAGTGTTAATAAATTTTAACGAGTTTGAAGCATAAAACACTCCATAAAATTAGTATTATCTTCCATTATTTGAATTTTGATGAAAAGACACCAGCCATGAGAATATAATAAATTTTATTATCTATCATAGTTGTAAAATATATTGAGTGCATAATTTATCAGACAGAACCTGGATTTCTTCGTGAAAAAAGAAAAGTATAAAATCCTATGGAACAAGAACTTCGTTGCTTTTTACCTAGTTGTTGTCCTTAAGGAGACCACTCCCTTTCCGGATGGTAAAATCAACATTTTTTCGATCTTTGGTGTAGCTCTGAAATGTTCTCTGTCACATAGCATATGGATGAGAGTTCTTCGTTGTTAGTTAGTACTTTTATTAAACTCAACTCTCGAAATTCCTAGCAGAAAAGCTCGCGCTGCGATTATTCTTTATATGCTAAATTCTTCTGATGATAAGGATTATTTCTCAGTCCAAAGACGTTGAAAAGGATCGGTCATGAACCTCTAACAGGGTCAGTTTTCAATCACTTTACTTAGAGAAAAAAGTCGTGATACATACACGAAAGTTTGTTTTTTTATTTGAGTAAAAACATAGGAAATGTACCATATTTCTGAATAAAAGCTTTTTTTTTTGGTTCTCATAGCCCGGAAAGGTAGTATACATTCGATAATAATTAGTATTCGGAAATGAAAAGATGCTTTGAATATCTAAAGTTTGTAGATCCATCTCATTCTTTAGAAACTGCCAAACCTGCAGTACCTACTAGAAGTTCGGCAATAAACCCATAGGATTATTCTTGTTTTCAAAAAGTAGTACATTTAGGGGAAATATCTTAATCCCAATTCCTGTTTTCGCCAATTGTATTTTTTGCCAATTGGCGAATATCAACTAGTAATTCGCCAATTGGCGAATTTCCCCACGACATTCGCCAATTGGCCAAACAGTAAATCAAATTTATTTTTTTTATTGGCAAATGTCATACTAGTAATTCGCCAATTGGCTAACATACCGTTGGCCAACTTCACAATTGACAAAATTATAGAGACCCTCGGACATGTGCCATACATTACATGCAGATACATAAAAATCGAACTGGAGCACAACGCCCTCTGTGGTCATTTTTTACATTAAAAATAGTCCGCACTTGACCATACGCGATTGGTCACTATACAGTGCTGGACAAAAGTTCTGAGACAAACTTTTCCCTTTTATAACTTTCGGTTATGAATCTATCATGAGCCAATGGTGGTGTGCTTTGATAGATCTAACAGAGGCCTTTCATATACTATTATAGCATTATGAATTGGAAGCTTCTGTAGAAAGTTATATAAGTTTAAATGTTAGTCCATTGGCCAAAAGTTCTGGGACACTGCAGGGCTAATCCATTGGATACTGGACATTGTATATAAAAAATGATCAAAGAAAGCTGAAAATTTCAGCATTTATAGTTCTTACGAAGACAATATTATTCATAAAAAAACAAAATTTCGAAAGATCAATTAGCATCATAGTTTTCCGAGACTAACAAAAATTGTACTGCTAGAGACTTGAGGTCCCCATCAATCTCGGTCCTGGTACATGGAACTTTCACGAAACTTTCAGGGGTGTGGGTGTCAGGGTGTTTTGAAGAAAAATACCCACACCCCACACCCACACTCACGCGCACACATACACCCACACCCACACCCCCACACCCACACCCACACCCACACCCCACACCCTAGTTCATTTCTTACTTGAAATAAAAGAAGTTTAAAATAAAGTTCAAGTTAACAAAATGTATCTTGACAGATAACATAACTATCAAAGTATATTTTAGCCCATAAACTTGGTCGAGTCATAATTCCATTGATGCCAATTGGCGAATTTCGTGAGGAAATTCGCCAGTTGGCGAACAGGAAGTTAAATTTATTTTTGCCAATTGGCGAATATCAACTAGTAATTCGCCAATTGGCGAATTTCGTGGGGAAGTTCGCCAATGGCGAATATACCGTTGGCCAACTTCACAATTGGCGAAATTACAGAGACTCGTACATTTACAATAGATTCACTCGTCAATCAAAGTTGAACAGTTTATCCAACTCTAGTGTCTTGCAATCGGGCCAGATGCCGGGTATGAAGAAGTAACTGAATATATGGAGAGAAGAAAAATCCCCTTGTTCGGGCGGCCCATGTTGATCCTTGTGTCATATCAACGGCGGCATCTTCCAGTACATTGATTATACAAACAAAAATATCAATTTCAATATATTACATTGTTTTTTTTTTTCTTGCGTCTGGGTTTTTAAAATTCTATATTCAATGAAAATTTTTCTTTTATCATAATTTAAAAAGTTGAATCTAATAATTCTTTTTGTTTTTCTGTACGAATATTTTCAACTTGTGCAATATAACCATCAAGACGATGTTTTAAATTAGTATCTATATCAACAACTAAATCACGACTTAAAGTTTTTTCTTGTTTTTTTAAATTTCGATGTGCTTTTGAATAAGCTTCACGCATTTTAACAATAATTTGATCAGCTAATTTTTTTGCATTTTTTGCTAATTCTTCACGATGTTCACGTGTTACTTTTGGTGTTGGTAAATAAAGTGTTGTACCATCTTGTTGTGGATTAACATTAAGACCAGATTTCTGTATAGCTTCAAGAACATTTGGTATATATTGTGCATGACGTGTCATATCAATCATAAACATTTGTGGAGATTTTTGAATTATTTGTGTTAATTCTTTTAATTGATGTGCTTTATTATTCGGTGGTAATATAACTGATAATTCTTCAAATGCTAATGATGATGTTCGTAATTGTATTTGTTTTGAATAAAGTTCATGAAGTTCAACAAGTAATTTATCATATTGTGCTTTTAATAATGGCCAATCATTGGATGATGATGATAAATCAGCATCAGATAAAAGACGTTTTGATGCTTTCGGTTGACCACCACCTGTATTTTTAGCTTTAAAAAGTATAGCTGATGTAGAAAATGAATGAATGTGAGGTTGTTGTAGCAATGCTACACGACGAAAAATAAATGATAAAGACATATCTGTAAGAAAAACAAAGGATTTGTACGTTATCTGATATTTGATTTAAACACAATAAATGAGATTAAGTTAAACAATCTATTAGTTCTAGGAAAATTTTTTCAAAAAATTCATATTAATATCATTCATAATATCACAAAAGTAAATTCTCTTTGATAATTAAAGTAAAATAAAAATGCTTTCTTTCTTTTTCCTATTGGTTCAGCAAGTTTTTCACATCTTCTTTTATCTTCTTTTGTTCTTCGTATGATAAAGCAATTTCATTTATAGATTGACGTAATTTTAATTCAGTTGAATCATTAAATACTTCTTCATCTAAATTGAATTTATTTTTATCTATTAAACAAAATAATGAATTTTTTTTTTCTACTTACATTGAAGAAACGTATAACCCGAAAGTTCTAAACAACCAATATTCCATTGATGAAATGTTTTCGCTCCTATAATTAAAATTATATTTAAAAACTATTACATCTATCTATAAATATTTACACCTTTATTCGATTGACGAAACCAAACAAATATACGTATAACTGGTTCTAATGATGATGAAAATGAATCACCTTTCATAATCGCCATATTATGTGCAATATCAGATGAAACAAGATAATTTGTTATTGTATGAATATGTCTAAATAAATATTAAATTTTATTTTTCTAAATTTTTCAAAATATTACCGAGCAATTCTATCAAATTCATCAATATGTTTTATTTCGAAAGCAAATCCTTGTACATCGAATAAATCAAAAAGATAACAATTTGAATTAATATGAAATGGTGAACATTTCTAAATCGAAAAAAAAAGAGATTTATCGAACAAAAAAAAAAACTACAAAAAAAAACTAACAATAGTTTGAATATATAAACGATTGGGCATATAGATTCCATGAAGATGAAGCTAAATTAATTTGAATCATTTGTTTCTTTTTTAGTTTATTTTAATAAGAATTAAATTTTATTTACATGATTAACTGATGCATAACCACAAAGGGAATTAAAACCAATATAGATAAATGGATGAGCACTTGAAGCAACAAAACGAAGTCCGAATAAAAGACAATCAACCGTTAAAATCTAAATATAGGTATATATATCAAATTTATTGATTCTTTTTTCCTTATGAAGAAAGTCCTCCAACTGACAAATCGTTTTATACAATTATGGTAATAACGTGTATTTTAAAAAAATACTGTAAAAGTGAAGTATTTCCACATCAATAAGCTAATGACATGAATTCTTTTTAGAGCACTTATAGCTTATTTGGATCTACATATTGTACATCCGATTCATCAGTTGGAGGACTTCTCTTGTTAGTGTTCGGTTTTTTTTATTACTTGTGGTTGTTCAAGTTGACGGTTTGATACAAGTAATACTTGATACAAACGAATAGGTGAATTATTAATTATTACTAAATGTTTATCAATCTGTTGTTCATCATCTAAAGAAAGAAGAATCTATAAATAGATCATTCTTGATAGCAAAAAAAAACAATAGAATATTTTTAATGTATTTACTTCTTCATCTTTAATTTTATTAAAATTAAATTTGCTTCTATCAAATGGTGTATTGACATATTCAAATGGATCTGGCATTCGACGTTTTTCAAATCGATTAGGATTTAACTATAGATATAAATCAAAACTATGATATAGATACAATCTTCTGCGAAACAAAAAAAAGCAACCTACTTCGATTACATAATGAAGATCACCATCAAGTATTCGTTTTTTTATATGGTGATCCATTTTATAACAAAAATATCCTTGTGCAAGAGCGCGATCCCATTTGGAATGTAATAATGTATCAAACTAAAAGTTGATAAAACAAAAAATCTAATGATTTTCTTTTTGTAATTTTAATATAAATAAAAATTTTACATTATTAAATTTTTCATCTGTATGACATAATAAATTAATTGAATGAGGATCGAATTTGTAATGTTTCCACATTTTAATTATCTGAAAAAAATAATGGAAATAATTTTAGTCCATTGGCATCGTAAGCGATTTTTCTTCTTCGTCATCATCATCATCATCATCATTATCATGATTATTATCTTCTTCTGTTTTAGTATCAATACGGAAAGCACATTCACGTTTATCATGTATGCCATAAAATGCTAAAGCACAACGAACTTGATTTAACATCCTAAAATTAATTTATTCTTTGTTAAAAATCAAACTTTATAAATTAATTTACTTGGCTTTAGTACGTATCATAGCTGTGCCGTATCGGAATGAAACAATTTCTACATGAATCAATTGACTGCCAATCTTATAAATCAATAAAAAAAAGTATATACAAGTTTTTACATACAACGAAAAAAAAAACTAAATTAAAAACCTCGCCAAAAAGTGTATTAATTGCTCGATCAATTGCATTTCTTAGAAGATATTCTTCTGCAATAACTTGATCTTCAATTTCTCTAGAATTATATTAAGAATAAAGTATGATATAAAAAACAACAGATTTTATTGTTAAAACTAACAAACGGACATAAATTTCAACATCACGTTCTGCTGCCAATCGAGCTGCATTAGATTTGTGTCGTTTTTTCATTTTTGAATCTAAATTTTAAAAAAAATCAGACCAACAATTGGATTTTTGTCCATACAATATTCCTTCAATATCTATTGGTCATAGAAGTAAACAAATCATTGATTATTCTGAGAAATTTTCGCTTACTGGCGCGCATTGACGATTATAATTTTTTAGTATCATTAAAGATCATACCACCTAGAGTTTTACAGTTATATTGAAGTATGCATACACAATAATATGCATAGACTCCCATGGATTCGTTCACATTGTAAAAAAGAACGACAAATACTGAAATCGTTCAGAATTGTTCGATTCACACCTATGATATTTATGGATAACATATACCGATAGCTTTATCACACATGAATTTTCAAATTAATCGTGGAAAAATCCATAGAGAGTGGTACTGTCCATTTTAGACTTAAATGGCCGTGAGCAGTTTTTGAATAACTTTAAAACAGAAAGAAAGAAAGAGATAACCTGAATTTTTCGTTCTATCTAGAGTTGACATTGCTCTATCTTTTTTACCAAGTCGATGAAAAATTCCAGCCACTTTTCTTAGTGGGTACGTAACGAGTTTTGAAGATAAACTTAATTTCCTTTGAAATCTACATACTTTGTCAACTATAATATAATGGACAGATAGTCCAGATCTTCCGCTAATGATCTATATGAGGAAGAGATAGTAACCGATTTGCATTCAAAAGATATAAAGGTTTTTCTGAAGATTACTTGCGAAATATTTTTCAAAATCTTAGCAAGTAACATCCATTGCATGCTATAAGTTTTTAGTCGTCTTCGTCTTCGCCACATGATTTATTAATCTTCAGAATGTTTTTTCTACTCGAGAATATTATCAAAAGCCATGCGTTCAACTTATTCTGATGATAATAAATTAACATAGCCGGAAAGTTTTCTTCAACCTTTATCTTATTGCAGCTCTCATTGAAATAGTTCAATGAATCCAAATTAGTGAGCCAAAAAGAATTTTAAGATGTTCACGTAAATCCACCGTAGAAGTCATTAATCATCATCATCATGATCATTTAGCTCTTCTTCCATTTCTTCAACATAAATACCACCCTTCTTAAATATTGACTCACATTGTTGAACGTATCTAATGTAACTGGTTGCGTCCGTCGCGCTTAAGCCATAAATTCCTCTTGTCTCAGTTTGCTCACTTCAGTTAAAGTAAACTTGATGTTTCTATCACGTATATATGTTTTCAGATGGATCCAAGTTAGCTCTATACAATCCAAGGTATCTATGCTCACACTCGTATCTACACCACTCCTTTATCCCGCACGTCAAACATCAAATAAATGTTCCTCAATCACGCTTTCTGTAAGAAAAAACTCTAAAGATTGATAAATCGTGTAACGAAGGCGAAGACCACTAAAAACTTATAGCATGCAATGGATGTTAATTGCTAAGAGTATGCAAATTTCAAAGCGAATTAAGTTTATCTTCATAACTCGTTATGTATCCACCAAGAAAAGCGACTGGAATTTTTCATCGACTTGATAAAAAGATAGAGTAATGTCAACTCTAGATAGAACGAAAAATTCAGGTTACCTCTTTGTTTCTTTCTGTTTTAAAGTTATTCAAAAAATGCTCACGGCCATTTAACTCTGAAATGGACAATAATCGCAGTTTCTGTTTGAGTACTTTCATACCCATTCAGAAAATACTAAAATTTGATGTGAAAACACGTTAAAGGGCAATCTCTGTATTAAGAAACGGCCGACAATTTTTTTCATAATATTTGAGCATATTTTATAGAGAGACACGATATTTTGATACCTATTTTTTTTTGTCAAAAATGTTATTATCAGAGACATTAAACCTTTTTGTCTTTATAGAAATCATGATTTTTTCAAGTATTTTCACTCAACTTTTCATGTTTTCTGAATGAGCGTGAAAGTAACGGAAGCAACGATCAATGCACTTTTCGAAATTCCTGTCTGCTTGAGGAGCCGACAGATGTTTTTTAAGAATTCATGAGAAAACAATAAAATATTGGATATTTTCTGGAATAAAGCGAATATTGTCTAAGATTGAGATATTACTCTGCGGATCGTCCAACTACCCTGCCTTCGGCCGCTCAGAACACTTCTGTACAAAAAAATTTCGATCTTCCCCTCTAAAAATATCCTGGCTACGTCCCTGAGTACCGAGAACGTTTGTTCGACAATTTTTATTTAATGAAGTAAGATAATGTTGCATTTTATGAATATTAAAGAATATGCAAAAAGATAACAATCAATAGACATAATGCATTTTTCTATACTCAATTCACATGTCCTTCTACTGTATGTCAGACGTTTTGTGTCTTCTTTTTTTTTCATTCTCTTCAAACCCATTCACAACAAATTTCTCAATAGAAATCTGGAACCAAGTAGTATAGTAAACAGCTGATAAATAAAAACAAAACTATTACTATTCACATTTTGTTACGGAAAATATTTTCATTTAAAAAAAAAGCAATATGAAAAGATAATATACAGATAATAAAAAAAAATGTATAAATGTTCATCTGACTCGGTTAAAAAACACTTCTCTGAATTTATTTTTACAGATTACAAATCTAAAAATATCGATTGGTTAAGAATAAGCAAATCATTTCTTGTAAGAAAATTTTCTCATTGGTGTATATTGACAGTATCATTTTATGCCAGCCTTTCTTTCTTATGATTAATAATTTCATTTAAACATTAAACACTACTATTTTCAAAATATTCAGCAAAATGACATCAAGTGCAGTTGTTGATACAGAATTATCTGTTGATCCAGTAGAACAACCTGAGAAACTTTCTGAAATATCGACGTAAGTAAATAATCATTTTATTTGAATTTATTGTTTTTTTGGGGAATTTAGATTAAATTCTGATGGTGTAAATGTCGATAATGAAGATGAAGAATTATTAGCAACTGATGTAAGTTTCTAATTGTAATTTTGGAACATTTAAAAAAATTTTTTTTTTTTGTTTTTTCTAGCGATTTCAACAACGTCTTGAACGTTTTGGAACAATAGCACCTGAAGCAAAGAAAATTTCACGTGCATTACGTTTTGGTACACTACATGTAAATGATGAATTTTATACATAGATAAATAAAACAAAAGAACACCTTTTTTTTTTTGTAGGAACCCATTGATGATGACACTAAAAAACGACGTTTAGAAAGATTTGGTACTTTGCCTGCTGCAACCGTAAGTGATGATTTGATAGATTGAAAATTTCTGGAAAATAAAAATCTTACTTATTAAATAAAGGAAAATGAACAAGAAAAGAAACGTCAACGAGGTGAACGTTTTCATGTAAATAATCCAACAGTAACAATTGATGAAGAAACAAAACAAAAACGTATCGATCGTTTTGGTGTTGTTACACCACCGACAGTAAGAAGAATTTGATGTTAATTTTCTATTCAAAAAAATATTTCTTTTGAAGACTGCATCGACAAAAGATAAAATCGATAAAATATCTTTACCAACAACTCAAGTCTTATCGGATGCGATTAAAAAACGAGCTGAACGCTTCGGTGAAATATCTGATGTTGCTGAAGCAAATACATTGAATGTATGTAAATTTTCTTTTATTTTTCGTTTTTTTTTGAAATTTTAATGTTACTTTTCAGGACCAAAAAGCAAAACGTGCTGAACGATTCAAGCCAATAACAAGTGTTTGATTCATAAGATACTTCTTTTTCCTTTATTCTTGTTGTCTTGAATTTTTTTGTTTCTTTTTACAATCATCTGTTGATTTTTTTTTGTTTCACACAAAAAACAAAACGAAAGTCAGAATTCATTTGTCTGTTTTCAGCATATATAACACAGAACAAATCGATTCGATGTAATGGTCTGTATTAGGAATAATAATATTGATATATATTCATAAGGTATCCTAATAAGCTGTGCATACTCTGAAAAAATTTTTTGAGCTATTAACTTATTGCTGTTGAGATATTGAATTTGAACGGTATTTTTTAGCACAATCTCGTGATCCGCTTAAGAATATTAGAAAAACTGAGTTTCAACGTGAAAGTTTCAGATTTCTTGATTGCTTCTATTCTGAAATAAGAACATTGAAATCTGTCCTTGCATATGAGCGACGTTAAAAAAAAACGCATTTTTCATCATACCCATATCTTAGAATAGGAAAAACAAAATAATCGGAAACTTTCACAATTAACAATTTTCATTAAGATCTTTCTGAATGTAATATCTTGACAGCAACAAGCGCTATAATAACCCGAACTTTTCAAAGAGTATTCATAACTCATTAGAACCTACATGAAGTACATGGTATCATCTCAAAAACGATTTGATACTGAAAAACGTTCTCTTGTAAGTAAAATAAAATAACGATCTTTGTGAGAAGAAATTTCTAAATATTCGCATGTATTTACCAATGTCACGGTTGGTTTAACAATAATTTTATTATGAATCTTTAAAATTATTCGAATGATTAATCTGAACTATGGATGAAAGATGTTCGTTTTTACATTTATATATCATTCATTATTAACTCATCAAGAAATCATTCTGTTAAGAAGTATGAAAAAATATTGTTATTTATTACTCGTTTTTTGATTACATACTATGAATTTTATATGCAATGTTTTATTTAATAATATGTTCTCTTCTCTAAAACTAATACTATAAGAAGAAAATAACTTTTGAAAAGATTTGATCGATCGAATCTGTATGGTTAATGCAATATATGAAGAAAATTTATTATAATTTTATCACTCAATTAGAAGAGGAGAATTATTTCCTAGTATTGGAATCAATCTATAACAATTAGTATATATTATATGAAATAGTGCAATATCCTATTTAAAAAAAAGATGAATCATTAAGGTAAAAGCAAAGCAAATACAACACGATTTGTCCAATTATAATCTCAATAAAACGAATGAGTTAGGCATTAACACTCCCATCGATACGAATCACTTCACCATTAATAAAAGATCCATCTTGAGAGGCAAGCATAGCCACAACAGCAGCTATTTCTTCCGATTGACCTAATCGATTATCGGATAGTTGAAAATAACTGAATAAACTTTGATTAATTCCTTCAGAGAACTGAATAAATGTAAGCAATGGAGCAAGAGTATCACCTGGTGCAATTGCATTGACATGTACTCCTTGAAGAATATATTCTCTTTCAAAAGATTTTGTTGATACAATAATTGCTCGTTTGCTTGCTGCATATACTACCGTAGGAGAATGACCATGAAGACCTGCTATCGAAGTTACATTAACAATATTACCTTTAATGATTAACAACTGAGGAAGACAAACACGTCACATAAGAAATGTACCAATTAAATTAATATCAATAATTGTTTTGAATTGTTCAAGTGTAGTATCTATTGATAGAGTTGCTTGAAGAATCCCAATCATATTAATACGACAGCGATCAATACATGTTCTGGATTTGATGATAATTTCACTGTCTCTTGTAATCCAATTTCATTAACATCAATACCAAGAACAGAAGACGCCTTCAGCGATAAGACGTAAAACAATAACTCGATTCATACTTGATGCAGCTCCAGGTACGATTGCTGTTTTACCTTTAAATCGACCAGTAACAATAATTAGAATAGCCTAATAATAACAAAAAAAATTAATTGATGGAGGCTGCGTCACAAATAAACTTTTTTATTTTTTCATGAAATTCAACTAAAATTTCAGAGAATGTTAGTCTTGCCTAGAGTAGATTATAGTTAAAATATCTCCCCAAATCTGTCTGATATTCACGAGTTATAGTCAATTTATTGGTCAAAAATACCCAGCACGTGGGCAAGGTTTTTACAATCAGGATACGAGCTAATATGCTGGGGCGATTTTTAAGTTGTAGAGTGCCCTTAGGGCTAGCTCCTCACAGAGCCCGATTTTTGAAATTCTCTTTGTTTGTTTTTTAAAAAATCCTTTCCGAAAAATTCTCGAATTCATGACCAAAAAAATCGCTGATAAAAATGAAATATGTAAGTTTTTTATTTCACCAATAGAGAAAATCAAAAATCGAGTTCTGTTAGGATCTAACCCTAACGGTCCCCTATGCAATAAAAAAAAAAATGATCACTTCTATATTGAGTCGTTATTGAGTAAGGTTTGCCCGCGCAAACAGGATACTCGAAACAAAACGGATTTTAAGAAAAATGGAAAATAAGTTTTTAAAAACCTTATTTTTTTTCAATACGAAGGTTCAGAAAAACCTATATAATATCCTTAAAGCTCATCATAAAATCAATCAACTATAGTGCATTCGAAAGTAGACACTTTGTTCTATCTAACGAGCTATAAATCACAAAATTGATAAATTTGATAAAAATTGACTTTGTCTGAGCGGACTTCAAAAGAAAGAAAACAGCTGTGTATCGATCATTTTAAAAATTTTAACATGCTGTTTCTTCTCTTACGCTAATTCTACAAACACTGTTTAATAAAAATTACCAAAATAAAATAAAAAAACATACAAACTTCATTGTGATCTGGATTTATCTTTCCAGCAATTAAATCATGATGACATAGTATGGATTTTAATCAAAATATTTCACACTAATCTTATTTTTGGAGACATGAGTTGTTATAATAATAATGATTGATACAACTCAAATATTTATTCTTTAGCAAAAATACTTCCATTTGTAATAATTCAATTCTTGCTAAGTGCTGGTTTAACTCATGAGGGAAGTTCTCCAACTGATAAATCACTTTTTATTGCTGCCGAGATATTGCACTTTTATGGTAATTTCTAAATAAATCCCATGGTCCTCAGAAACACGAACAAAAACTGATTTTCGAATTTTGACTTGAAACTTTGCATAAAGACAATCCTTAATGGAGGATAGTTTATTGTGAAAGTTTTAGATCTTGTCGTTGTTCCTATTCTAAGATGCAACTATGGTAATAGTATGTGTTTTACATCGCTCATAAATAGGCGGCAATCTCTATGCAAAGTTTCAAGTTAAAATTCGAAAATCAGTTTTTGTTCGTGTTTCTAAGGGAGATCATGGGACTCATTTAAACAAATATTATATAAATGTAGAATCTCTGCAGCAATAGATGAAGGTCTCAAACTCTTCAGAATATTCAAAGCTTATTTGAGTCTACATGACGCACAGTCTTAATTCGAAAGCGATTCATCAGTTGGGCATAACAGATGAAAGTGCAGGATGTCTTGTTGTCATACTCTAATCAAATATAATATTATATAGACTATTTATACATGAAAATAAAATAGAAATTCTAGATATTTAATTTGTAGTTAATGTGCTTAATCTTCTTATAATAAAGCTCATTAATTGATATAGTTTCATTCAAACAAACTGATTATTAATTTGTGCATCAATGTTCTTGTTGAAATGTTCAAACATAATCAAGAATTAATTACACGAATATGACTTATCAAATTATAACATATCCGATAAAGAAAAAGTAAGTTTTAAAAAGAAGTAAAACGATATGACTTCGACATTCGTTGCCACGACGGAACATTTTTTTTTTTCTATTAAAAATTAACAATTTAAGACACTTATTCTTTGAATATATGATATACTCTATAACTTGTATTAAATAAAAATAAAATAAGATAGATAATATTCATCATGACGCTTTATCGGTTCGATTTAGTGAAATAGAAGTTTTAAGTGTTTATTTTTCTTAATACAGAAAACACTGTAAGTTGAAATTTTTATCTAGATTAGTACATTTGATATTGTTCTTGTTCTTTCTATTCTTGAATTATTACAACAAAAGGATAAGCCACCATTGTTATATATTTAGATCGACAGTATCTATTCTTAATGTTTCAATACATTTGTATATCAAATCACAGACAGGGAAAAAGAATCTCACATTATTCTATACAAGAAAGAAAGAGTACATAACGGGCATGATATCAACATTGTTTATACTATCTGTATTAACGGCTGTTGTCTATCTCATTGACAGAAGAAAATATGCATAGCACTACTATTCACAAGCATTCATAAAACAATTCAATAGCATACGAGAATGATCTTTTCTTTAGTACTTTTCTGCTGTACTGTTATACAAGTAAATACTATTTTGGAAAATGTGTTTTGTACATTATCATCATCAGATGAATTAATGATTCAAAATATTCCAACAACATTTGAGTTAAATATACCTTATACAAGTAAATGAAAATTTTAATAACTAAAATTCAAAAATAAGTTTTATTTTAGTTATTCTTTCTTCGAATAATACATTTTTATTATCCTATGTAACACTCGATATTGAATATATTGATACAATTTCGAATATCAGCAATGATTCTTTTTGTCTTTCAACAAATGAATCATCTTTATCATATATTTACAAGACAAGATTCATATTAAAATTTGAAAAAAATTCAACAAAAACCAATTGTATTCGATTAAAGTAAAAATCTAAATTCGTAATTCGATTTTATTCTTCTCTTTTCATTTTTCTAGATTACGTAGCTATATAAATTCAACAGAAATGATGATAACTAACCTCTGTAGAAATAGTAGTATAGGTTTGCATAATTATCGAATCAATATATATAGTCAAAAAAAAAAACAACTAAAATTATACATATTTATATTTAGATAAAATATTTGATAATGATGATAAATATGATGTACAATCTTATATGAGAACAATTAATACTACTGAAATAGCACTTCTAGATAATTTCAAGTAGACAACTATTACTTTTCTATTCATAGTAAATGTAACTATCTATTTATTTAGCTGGTTAATTTTTGGACCACATGTACGAGAAATCTGGTATTGAATAATATTTTTGAACAATTCTAATAAAGAATCTTTTGTCTTCTTCAATATAGGTATACACATGAAGGTATGCGATTAAGTCGTGAATGTGATGCTGCAGAAGATGGTCGTGTTGCTATATTTAATAATCCAAGAGGCAAACGAAGACTAGTAAAAATTTTCTTCGCTTTATTTTTGTATTTCTTTTTTTTTTTTTTGCAAAATAGATTTCTCGTCCGATTGATATATCAAATGTATCATTACTTTATATGCGTCTTGGTAGTGGCACATGTCCACCACCTGCACCTACCGATCCACCATTTCAATTATTAATAACAACAGATTGTTTTAATTATTCAAATTGGCTTGTTGTTTATTCACAACAGTAAAATTTATAAAAAGTTTTTTTTCTTTCTTTATCGAATATTATTTAAAAATATTCTTTAGAATTTTACCTGGTATCGAACATGTTACTGTTCCATTATCATTAAATAATCTAACAAATTCTTCGACTGTATGTTTAAAAATTGAACAAGATGGTGATAAATTTATTGGTAGTGGTTCTTGGTTTATAGATGATTTATTAATTATTCGATCTCGTTTACAAAATGAATATTTTTTTGAAATATTTAAAACAATGCGATCAACGAATTGGTATCGTTTAGTTGGTGGTCATTTAAAAGTAATTTTTATCTTTAAAAAAAAAAAGAAAATAGTTATGAAATTATTCTAATATTTAGACATGCGATGGACGAATGAGTATGGTTTTTGAATCACATGTTGATACTCGAACTGAAATAGGTGCTACAACAATTGATTTTTCTCTATCAGGATTGATTGATTATGATCGAGATGCTCTTTTTTATCTTTCAAAAAATATTTCAATCGATTGGACAAAGTAAAATAAAAATTCTATTTTGTAAATCTAAATATTGATTTTTTTTTATTGATTTTTATTAAAATATTCTATAGATGGAATGCAACAGGTTTTTCAGATTTAAATAAAACATGTACTAATGAAGATATTATTACATTTAATGAAGAAAATTATCGACAATTATGTTCACCAATTATTCAACTTAGTCGAATTGATAATGTTCGTTTTACACTTTCAACAGGTAAAATTTAAAGAAAAAATATTTTTTATTTTTATTAACTTTAATTTTTCATTTTAAAGAACCATGTATGAAACGAAATAAATATATTTCAACATCGTCTGCAGTTATATTTCTTTCGATTTTTTATCATGGTACAACTGTTGCTTATTCAAGAACAATACGTCGACTATCATTACGTGAAATACCGGTTAGTTTTTAAAACACAAAAAAAAAAAAAAACAAATTGAAATAAGTTTCTATATGTATATGAATTTATTTAGCAAACTTATAAAACTTATCATGTTCGATTTGATGAATTACGTCATAGTACAACATCATTTGGTCGTATTTGTTTATCACAATATCCTCAATCATCAGGAAAAAATATTGATGTATGGAGTGTAAAAGATTTTGTTGCTTTACCTTTATTACAATCGAATATTACACATTATATTCAATTGGGTTTAAATACAAAATGTAATTTACACGAACAATTAAAAAATGCATTAGGAGGAGGAGGAGGA